AACTTTTTGACAAATGGGGAATATATGAGAAACTTTTAGGTGCTTCAACGGATAATGCCGCTTCAATGATTAAAGCCATGGATCAACTTGGTGTTGAGCATATAGGTAAAACTACCTTGAATTAGTGCGATCATTGAATTTTGTGAATCTCACGAATCCTGCATATCACCATTGCTAAAGCAATGGTGATATGCAGAATTCATGAGATTTACAAAATTCAATGACTGCACTAATTCAAAAACAATGATAATTCTTTAATTCTATCTATAAAAATTCCAGTAAACCAGATTTTAACCTTTGTACAAAATTTAATTCTCATCTAGGTTGCACCGCGCATACAATACAACTTGCGTTGGGAGATGGATTTGATGATACTGAAGTTAGTAACTTAATAAGTAAAGCAAAAACATTAAATAGTTATGTCAGTGGTAAAGATAAATACCGTGAAAGCCTTCGTGAATTACAAGCTGAATTAAATCCGCAACACCAAGTTAATCCTCTTTCAAGTGATACAAGAACTCGTTGGAGTTCAACTTATAATCTTTTAAAAAATCTTTTTCTTCTTCGTAATGCTATTATAAGATTGGCCAATAACTTAAAACAAAATATTAATAGACAAGAATGACAAGATGGGACAAAACTTTCAGATCTTCTCCTATCAACAGAAGAATGGAGTTCAATAGATGAATTAGCAAAACTTTTATATCCTTTCGTGCAGGCAACTGGATATATTGGAGGAAGCCAATATCCCACTTTGGGAATGATGATTCCTACTCTCATTAAGCTCTCACGTCATTTAAGAGAATTTTATCCCACTATCGTTTCACAAACAGTAAGAACCTGCTGCAGTACAATCAACCAATCGATGCTGTCAAGGTGGTCTGAACCATCGTCTCATAGTCTAATAGCTGCCTTTTTGGATCTGAGATTCAAACAAATGAATTATGTAACGGCTAGTAAAAAAAGAGAAACCATTGCTCACCTTTGTTCTTTATTTAATACACAAGAAAGTTCTACTTTTATTCAAGAATCCCAACCTTTAAACACTAACTCATCTTCTTTTTTTT